ATTTATCGTCTCAAACCAGTGAAAAGCAGCGGCTTGATCACTACCCCATGAGAGCCCAGCAAAAGCTTTGGGCAGAGCAATCAGTGAGGTCGGTGTGGGGGAGCCCCGTGGCAATTGACTCGTCCTTGCCTCCTGCAGGATGCTGTGCTCCCACTTGGGCACGAGTGATCTGGGTGCTGGGTTGCTCTGGGGCTGTGCATGCCCCAGCCAGCTGGTCTGCACTCAGGAACCCCAGTGATGTGCGTGAAGCTGCTGCACCCAGCTCCTGGTGTGGCAAGGGGCTGGTGCCCTCTGGCTCCTGGCTGTTGGCTGTATCCTCTTGGGATGATGCTAGTGTGCATGGAGAAGGGATTTGGGCTTAGCACTGCCTTGGCATGGAGCCCTCCAGAGGCAGGGCCATGCGTTCCGTGGAGCTGTGCTGGAAGCTGGCTTGTTTCTCATGGGACATCTGCTGCAACACTCCCTCAGAGTTTCAACCTCCACCATCTGTGTGCAGAAAAATTCATCCTGCAAGCCAGCCCCTCCATGTCACTGAGCTGTATCTTGCACTGGGGGGTGCTGCTTCACACAGCCTTTGGGAGCCCCTGTCCATCCTGGGACAGCTGAGTTCCTCTTCCATGCCTTCTGGAAAAGGAAACAAGCGGCTGCCAAGCTCGACATATGGTGATTTTTTTGGGGCAGACTGGTAGAGTTCAGTGATGCTTGTTGGCAGCTCAGCCTCGAGAAAGCAAAGATGACAATTTAAATGCATAGTGACATTGTTCTGGAAGATGTCTTCCTGAAAGATAGCCTTGTCATTTTACAGTGTTGAATTGTTCCCCTGGTGCTAGTGGTGGAAAAGCTGAGCTCTTGGGATGCCTGGATCTATCCTGGTGCCCGCGGTATTCACCAAAGCGCTGCGTCAGCCTGTGGAGCCTCTTGGGTTGCAAAACACATCTGATTACCTACAAGTACTTCCATGAGGTCTTATGGTGTGAGCTACATTCTGTTCATCTGCAACCTGGGTGTGACTGTGGGCTGTGTGGTACTGGAAACCTGCTTCATCATCGTGGGAACATCTGAGCTGTGTACGTCTGGATCACACTGATTTGGCTGTAACGTGCTGTTTTGAGGCCTCCCGTGGCCTCTGATGTCTTGTGTGAGCTCAGTGGATTAAAACTTGTTCCCAAATTTCATAAAATAGGTTTATAATTTGGAAAACAAGGTATTGAAGGTACTATCTTCTTTCTCTTATCTTTGTTATTTGATTTGGTCCCCTTTGTCTTTTTTCGCCGTGATGTGTGCCTTTTTCTGTAATTTTCTGCCGCTTCCTTCCCCCTCTCTTATCTCTCCCTCTGCAGTTCTCTCCCTGATTCTCTCTGTTCCTCACTCCCTCTCCCTCCCCTGTGCAATCTATTTGCAGGCAAGTTGTCTCTTTGATTTACTGTATCTCTCCTCGGTGGGATTATGATGAATGGTTTGTAGGGCCGTGGCTGAGCTGGCCTGGCACTGCATGTTTGCACAGGGTCAAACACCTTTGGAGTGGGAAAATCACGTGAAGGTACGTGGGGAACCTCAGTACTGCCAGCCCCACTGCTTCTGCCCCACTGATCCTTGGGCAGAGGGGGGCAATTGGGACGGGTGGGTGGGTGGGTGATGGAGTTCAAGGTCCAGTAGGAGCGACCCACCAGATCCCAGCAAAGAGGGGCTCTTTCTGCTCTTTGCTATTCTGCACTGAGCTGCTATGGGGCAGTTCTAACTTTAAAGAAGGTGAAAAAGATCTCAGGGAAAGCCGTGCTATTGAGTGGGAAATGATGCTCAGAGCACTTGTGTTGACTTGTCACCAAGTCAGTGCCTGCTTGCATTTGCAGCTGCTGGGAGATGCATGTTGGTAAGCGGGACTTGTTCACGGTGGGGAACCTTTGCATTGCCTCTTCAATTTCTGGCTTTTCCAGTCTGTGCTAAGCACTGACAGAGGACTCTCTGTGCCCTGGTACTGTGAGATGGCTGCGTCTGTATGTACCCATACATGCCCAAAAACGTAGGCAGGTATTTTTTGGGGGCGCTTCCAGTTGTATCAAGCAGTGTATTCCAGTGTGGCACATCCTGATACAGATAGTGTCTGCTCCTTGTAATTAGAGCACTTCATGGGGAGGAGGGCTCGGTGCAGCCCATCCCAATGTGACACAGCACCTATATGTGTGTAAAACCGCTTTCCATCCCCAGGTGTTGCTTTTTGGCCACCGTAGGACTACAGGTGGTGTTGGTGCAGCAGAGGCTCTTTGTGTAGCTGCTGCTCTTGGAAAGGTTCATCACAAAGCCCTGAGGTGTCGGTGTCCCCTTCACAGCAATGGGCAGGGAAGCATCCTGCTGCCTTGTTTTTGTTGTTCAGTGCGTCCTCTGCGATCTGAACTCGGTTTGTTATTCTAGGGATAATCTTTCATAATGAATCTGCAGGAGATTGATGGGGATAGCTCGTTATACACTTCCAGAGCAGTTTCGCTGTAATTCTGTAGCAGCAAAATGCACCATTAAAGGCAGAGAGCCATGGGAATGATGGGACATAATTAGTTGTTGCTGTAATATTTTTGATTGAAAGTGTGTAGATACTGCAAACGGCTCTTTCAGAAACTGGGACTCTTAAGGAATGTGAAGAGAAGCAGTGCTCCTCCAGAGGGAGAGGGCGATCCTGCTTTTCTCCTACCTGGCGCTGACACAGAGACAGAAGAGTCCTGTGTTGAGATCCAGACGTGTGCAGAGCAGCTTGCACATCTGGCTTGCCCCTGCTTTGCTATTGCTTGATGGGAAGTGTGAGATACATGGCGATTTCTTGCGCCCTTGGAATGTCGTGGCCAGGAGCAGGGCTGCCATGGGCATGGGGAACAATGTGAAATGGCCTGGGCGACCTTCTGGTGTAGCTTTGAGCTTCAGGTCTCTGTGTGTGGGGGATAGAGGGAACTGAATTATAGCAACTCGTCCTTGTAGGACTCCTTTCCCGCTGACATTAAGAAGCTTAATCTGAGCTGTGAGCAGATCAGGACTGGCAACAGCAGCCATGCTGTGGCCGCAGGAAGGCAGAGCTGTGGCATTGTCTCCATCAGCAATAGTTGGTGCTGGTCTTTGCAGTGAAGCTTCTAAATTTATTTTCTTGTTGCTTGCTTTTGTAGTGCTACCAGCTCGGGGCAGGCCATCCCCGGTGCCAGCCTTAGGCTGATTGCACTGATGCTCCCAGAGGAAAGGGTGCAGAGAGAAAGCTGCTGCCTACTCTGGGGAGTGGGGCTGCATCCCCGAGCACCCTGAGACTTGCTGCAGGAAGGGGCAGCCCCAAGCATCGCCATGCTCTGCAGCCTACCTACTCTCACCCCACGTTTCTTATTCCCCCGTTGTTTGAGTGATGCTCCTCTGAGCCCACTGTGGATGCCACCTTGGTCCCTGCCCGCTGGGGACACGCTGGTACCACTGCAGATGGACCCGCTCCGCTCGGCAAGGATGTTCCTGCATGCTAATTGCTGGCATCTTTACTTGTTACGAGTGTAATTGTGAGTAGATGTTTGTTTTTGTATTGATAATTAGGGACTGAAACAGATGGTGGAGGCTTAGTTTAAAGTAATGTGTCCATTAAAGAAAATCTACTGTATACAGCGCAAGATTCTTCACTCAGAGAGAGCTCTGCTTTCCACAGCAAAGCTCAGCTTCTCTCTAACGAGGGCTTTGGCCAGACATGAAAGATCATGTCCCTGCCCACTGACACCTCTCCAAGCCCTGGTGTTTAGCTTCCTTCCAGGGCACTGCTCGGGATCGGGCAGCCCTGGAGCATCCCACTTGTGTGGGGAGCAGCTCCCTGCTTGGGGAGCAGGCAGTGTTCCAGTGGGCTTAGTGTATCAGATGGGCTGCTGCAGCTGAGCAGGGCTACTTCTGCTCCAAGTGGTTCTGACTGAGATGGAGTGGCACCAGCTGAACCTGGTGGTGCCTCCAGCCTCGGCCACGTGGTGGTTGTGTGGTCAGCCTTGGGGTTTTGGTGAGGCCAGGCTTTCCCTGAGCCTCAGTGAACAGTTTGGGGTTGTTCTCATCCTTCCTTCTCCTTGTCCCAGAGAATGGCATTGTAGAGAACCACAGTGGGAAGATGTGCCATCTGGAAACATGCCTAGATCACTAAGAAAAGACAGGCAAGAGCTTTTTGGTAGGGAGGCAGCTTTTTTTTGATGCTGACAGGATGCATCTCTTCTTGTTGTGTGTATTTCTTTCAAGTCTCCTGCTTCAGGAGCTGCTGTGTGCCGCGTCGTGCTGCTCCTTCCAGCTTTCTTCCCAAAATTCAGAGCCTGTTTGGGGGTTGCAGTGGGAGGAACTGTGTTTGAAGGGCTGTAGCAATGACTAATGAGTGCTTAACGACATGCACAGCCATACTTATGGCAGGAGGAGAAATAATATTTGTGTGGTGGGGACACAAGTGGGTGCAAGTTACTGGACAGGGAGATGGGATAAGCTGTGACTGAGTTGTGTTGTTTGTACCAGCACAAAGCTAGGAGATGTGCTTGCTGTGGTGCTGGGCTGCAGAGCAAAGGATGGGGCCAATTCCAGGCACGTTTCCTTCCCAGCTTTGCTTTAGACTCAGGAGTTGAGCAAATTAATCTGCATGTCTGCTTGCTGAAAACAAATAAATAAAACCTGGAGGATTTCTCCCATCTGTTTCTATATGTTGTTGCTCTCACTGTTATTGTTGTTACTCTTGTTTTTGTTTTTTTTTTTTCCCTTGTACAAGAGCAAGAAAAAAAGCAGGGAAATGCCAGCTGTAATGCTGCAGTACAGCTTTTCAATATCTCCCACCAAACCCACCACTGAAAACCTCCCGGCACAGGATCACCACTCCAGCAGCTCCGCTGTCATTGCTAAGGCTGAAATCATCCTGCCAAATCACAGCTGCCAAGCTCCCCCTGGAACCCATCTCAGTGTGGGTTCGTGTAGGTGGTGATGGCACAAAGCACAGCGTCCTCCTTCGTGTTCTTCCTCTTGTGTTTCCTCAGAGACCCTGATGGACACACGGACGGCGACGGCCGAGCTGGGCTGGACTGCCAACCCTCCGTCAGGGGTAAGTTATCCCACATCCAACCACGCAGTCCCAGAGCTGATGGGATCCCTGTGCATTCCTCTCTGCCCTGCTGCCCATCCAGCACGCTCCTCCCTATCCTCCTGCTTGCTCCTCCTCTCTCCTGTACCACAAGGCTTGTAATTAGGAAACATTAGCAGGCTCAAAACAGCTTTCATACCTGGAACATCATCCGTAATTGCACTCAGCAGTGCTCTTCCTGGCTATTAATGTCACTTTTATGAAGTAATGAGGAACAAAACACCCCGAAGCACTTAAAACATCTTTTTTATATAATACGAGTCGTTGAGGGATGGAAGCATAAAATAACCTGACTCACATTCCCCTGACAGAAAAAGTGATAGACAAAGACGGGTGCAGACAGGGAGGGAGCGGTGGGTGGTAGGAATGATGGAGAGGCACTGTGGAGCCTGAGGTACAGCATTTGTTGGCTTGGCAGACTGGTTCCTTTGCTCCCAAAAACCACAGCTGGCCAGCTGTGCTGCTAGTGGTCCCGGGGTGCAGTGGTTTTACAGCTTTGCAAGCATCCAGTGTGAAATTTGGACAAACCTGAGTGATGAAAGAGCTCTGCACGCAATGAAATACCTGCGTGCATACAGCAATAGAAGTACAGGTGTGTAATTAAATGAGAGTGCTTAATACCTTACTCTCCATCCTTCTGTTGGTTTAACACAGTGAGCATCCTTAGGCTCACCCCTAGGGAGGGAGTAGGGACCTCTTTTCTTGGTTCTCCTGCTCACCCTGACCTCAGGGATGCTACAGCCTTAGATGGGACATCAAGTGTCCCTTGGATGGCAGCAGTAAACTGTGTGTGCTCCTGCTCCTCTGCCTGTCAGGGCTGGATCTTCCCATCCTGCTGCCACCAGAGTGATGCCTGGGGAAGGTGGGGAGGGCTGGCAGAGGTAAAAAAAGGCAAAGCCTGTAAACAATGTAGGGTTGGCTTGGTTCACCCACGAGTGCTGCTGCTGCCTCACCCCCAGAAATCATGCCCCGTGTCAGCATGCTGCGTAAAGATTGCCACGTGAATAATGCTGTTATGAGGAGACTGTAAACATGGATTAGCGAAAATGAATGGATTATGAGGTTGTAAATCTGTCTGTAGGACACTAATGCCATCATACACTATTCACAGTTTGCTGCTGTCCCTTAATTGAAATTGTAGCCTAAATTACATTAATACTCTTCTCTAAATCAAACCACGAATCTGTATTCTCATCTTTGCTGTGATGTGCTTTGGGAATGTTGTTTTTTTTTTTTGCCAGGGGAAGCAGTCCCCTTGTGCTGGGACCTGAGGTCAGACTTGCTCATCTGCCCCCACGGTGACTTGGTCACTGACATAGGCACGGCCTCTTGTACTGCTTTCCTTCATTTCTCCAGTTGCCTAGTCTGTCTTTCTTTCCCTCGTTGCATCTTCTTGTGAGGTGCTACTATATGACCTCCAGAGGCCCCTTCCAGTCTTGGCCAGTCCTTGGTTTTATGCCCTCCTTTCAGAACAGCCTTGCTGCGTGCGGGGTGACCTCCACCTCCAGTTCCCCCATCTCCTTCTCACGACCTCTCTTTTCTCCTTTGTGCAGTGGGAAGAAGTGAGTGGCTACGACGAAAACCTGAACACCATCCGTACGTACCAGGTGTGCAACGTCTTCGAGCCAAACCAGAACAACTGGCTCCTCACCACCTTCATCAACCGGCGCGGAGCTCACCGCATCTACACCGAGATGCGCTTCACTGTGAGGGACTGCAGCAGCCTCCCCAACGTTCCTGGCTCCTGCAAGGAGACCTTCAACCTCTATTACTACGAGACAGACTCTGTCATTGCCACCAAGAAGTCGGCCTTCTGGACGGAGGCACCCTACCTCAAAGTGGACACCATTGCTGCTGACGAGAGCTTTTCCCAGGTGGACTTTGGTGGCAGGTTGATGAAGGTGAACACAGAAGTGAGAAGTTTTGGGCCCCTGACCCGCAATGGCTTTTACCTGGCTTTCCAGGACTACGGGGCTTGCATGTCTCTGCTCTCCGTCAGGGTTTTCTTCAAGAAGTGCCCAAGCGTGGTGCAGAACTTTGCTATCTTCCCTGAGACCATGACGGGGGCAGAGAGCACCTCACTGGTGACAGCACGGGGCACCTGCATCCCCAACGCTGAGGAGGTGGATGTGCCCATCAAGCTGTACTGCAACGGGGATGGGGAGTGGATGGTACCCATAGGTCGCTGTACCTGCAAGGCTGGTTATGAGCCAGAAAACAACGTGGCTTGCAAAGGTAAGGCTGGGGTTGCTTTGCAGGGAGCTCTGTGCTTCTTGAGCTTTTCCAATGTGTTGTTTGTACCCAAATTAACTGCTGTGGGTGATGTCAACAGTGCGGGGCTCCAGAAAGTCTTGTCGCAAAGCAGTTTTGTTTTAGGGGGCTGAGGCGGTGTGCAGTGTCATATTGAAGGCTGTCAGGCTGCTTTCCAGGTGATGTGGGTTTCACTCTGGTGCCCCTGATCTTTGGTCACCGGTGTCCTTTTAGGGAAGAGTGAATTTCCTTCTCCTTCCAAAGTCTGAATCTGTCCTGATTGCCTTTGTCTCGTGGCTGTGATCTTCCTGCTGGGAGCGCAGCTTTGGAGCAGAGCCTGCTATGTATCCCACACACTGTTGTGACCCAATGCACAGCAAAAATGGTAGGAGTAGAGCGGAAACCCACAGCCCCAGGATGCTTGCAGTGTGCCAAGTTCAACCTGCAGCTTCTGTGCTCTCCAGCCAGTAGCAGTGCTAGCAGAACTCAGTGCAAGTCTGTGCTGTGGCTTGCAGCGTGATGAGGACACAGGCACCTACTCACTGCTGCAGTGATTTGCTGCCTTCAAAGGGCGATGCTCGCTGGCGGAGCCGCTTTCATCTCCTTGTTATTTCCCAAGCAAAGCTGCAGGAGCCAGGCAGCTGTCCCCAGCCTGAGTGCTCCTCTGCTGCTCTGCTTCTGGGTAGTAATTGGCTTTTTTCTGCTGTTTTTCTGGGTTCTCCCAGCCACGCTGCCGGTGTGCAGCTGCCAGGTTATAAATATGGAAGCGGCGCTTGCTGCTTGTCATCTCCTTTTGCAGTTCTGGTGAATATTTCCCAAATAACGTTGGAGGATTTTTTTCTATTAGCATTACACACTGCCCTTGCCATCCCTTCTCTTAAAATGTGGTTCTGTGCTTTGCTTGGAAGCAGGGGAGCAGAGGATCTTTGTGTGAGAAGCCAATTCCATTTCAGTAGTGCTTTCTGAATGGCTTCTGGAAGAGCTGAGAGTAGGAGGGGTTGGGAAACAGGTTCAAAGGCAACATCAGAATGGGTTTAAAAGCCACAGGGTCATAGGGCTGGTTTGGTAAGGGAAGGGCTTGGACCCTGACTCTAGAATGCTGGTGGCAGGGTGTTTGGAAGGCTTGGCTGGGATGCTTTTAGGATGGCCACCATTGCCTTTTTGTACAGGACTCAAGCTATGCAGAAGCTTGCTTTTTCATTTGCCTCAGTAAATCTTTGCTGGGGGATGTGGGAGAATACAACCAGCCTGGCAGCTCCTATTGTTTTTCACTCTGGGGGGGAAAAAAAAGTGCTTTCTTGTCATGTGAAGGATTCTGAAAACTGGGAAACAACCATGAGTCTGCACACTTGTGCAATGCTTTTGCATCTTGGGATCCTACAGGAGAGCCAGGGCGTTGCAGCAGGGGATGAGGGATGTCCACGTCCCAGAGCATCTGTGCAGCACCCAGCTGGGTGTGCAGTACCCACTTGTGAAGGGCAGGAACTGAAGGAGAAACCTCTGCAGACTTCCAAGAGCTGATGGCCTTGGTGTGAGGGCATGCATGGAACTAAGGTTTGTTTGGGTGGAAGCTTAGGATACTAGCAGGTCTAGGGGTGTAGAAATGTCTGGTGTGGGTTGGCTGGCTGCATCCTAAAGCTCACCATTGGTTTGTGGGTGCTGCTTGGGCAGTGGCTTAGCAGTCCCACCACTTGTGACTTGTGATTGGTGGTGTTGTGAGTGCTGCCAGGCACTGATGTGGTGCTGTGTCTGCAGCAGGACTCGGTAACACTCCTGTCCCCATCTACTGCTGCAGGAGGAGTGGCAGAGGATGCGATGGTGAGTGAGACCTGTAGGTCTGAAGGTGCTGTGGTATGCTGGTGAGGAGCAGCAAACCCATAGATCAGCCAGCCCTCCCTAGAAGCTTGGTAAAACCAGTCCTAAGAGCTGCCAGTTGGCTGCACTTAGGTAATAATCTTCCCTTGAGTTGACTGTGGGTGGCAGCCCTGCCCATAGCAGGGGATTGGAACTGGATGATCTTTGAGATCCCTTCAAACCCAAAGCATTGTACAGTTCCATGATTCCCAGTGGCTTGTGTGCATCTTTTGGCCAGCAAGCTCCTCCTTGACTCCATGTCCCTCAGAGACCACAAGAGAAGATCTGAGCCTGCTGCTGCCCTACTCAAGTGTCAGTGAGCAGGAACTGGCACGTAACAAAATCTGGGAGCCATCATTCAATGGGTTTCTTGTTGGGTTTGGGTGGTGGAGTGACGATGGTTAGGGATGGCAGCCCTCCCTTTGCTCTGGAGCTCTGTGTCCTTCAGCATGATTGCTCATTGCTGGGCCAGGTTTGGGATTGTGCCTCGTGTTGGGTGAACATCTCCTGTGTGCAGCTCCCAGGAGGCTGCAGACATCTGCTTGAAGCTTTCGTCAACCCGAGCAGCCAAGATGAGCTGCTTAATGAGCCCAGGGGAATTGTCACAGAAAAATCTACGGTATTTTAAGGCTGAGAAAATGGGCTTAATTCCTCAGAGAGGAGAGGGGGGGAAGGGGGGAAAAAAAAAGGGTTGAATTGTTGAGCTCTCTCGCCTCGATCTCATCCCTTCTGGCATGGGAGTGGAGGCGATGCTGTGTGGGGCTTTGGGGTGGAGCGGTTCGGTGCCACAAGGGATTCGTGAATGCTGGCTGCTGACTGCCAACTCCAAGTGCAGACAGCACAGTCTTCCTTGGAGCGTTGTGTTTTGGGGTCGGAGTGACTGGAGGGCCTGGCTGTCCCATTGAGGTGGGTTTTCTAGCTAGATGGTGCAGCAATGTCCCCAGATCCCAGGCAGTGCCTTTCCCTGGGCACCTCGCTTCTCCCAGCCTTTGGTTGATGCAGAACAGTGGCTGCTGCTGTGCCCCAAATGAATAATGCATCAAACGTGCTAGCCTCAGCACCATTTGGTGCATATTGAACCATCTATCTCGCTTGGCCATGCTGCATGGCTTGGGACACAATGCATCACTGCACCACGAGGAGGTGGGAGGGAATGTGGGATCAGGGGGGTGCCTGAGAGCTTGGGTGTGAACATACAAAGTACAGTTTGTGTTTACTCCCAAAAAAGAATCAGCAGAGCCTTTCTCTGCTGGTGTTTCACCCTGGATCCTAAGGATGGTAAGCAACTGGGAAGCATTGTTGGTTGGGAACAGGGCGGTGCTGCCTTGGTTTGGGGGGGGAGTAAAGGAAATGGGCTGAAAAGGAAGCAGCTTTGTGCCAAATTTTGCATTTCTAAAAGCAGAGCAAAGAGCTGAGAGCGTAGATCTGTTGCATCTCAGGTTTTATTCTTTAATTTTACCTCCACTGCTCTCACCTCTGGCCGTGCTGGTGCCCCAGCACTGTGGCAGTGGCAGAGGGGACATGTGTTTGTCCCATGGATGGGTGGACAGAGGGCAGAGCTCTGCCCAAAAGCCCTTTGCTCCCTTCAGATCCCTGCCCACTGCTGGGTGGCACAGGCACAGGTGCTGCCAGCTGGGAAAGGATGTCCCTCAAGCATTGGGAAAGAGAGGGGAGGGAAATAATAATAATTAAAAAAAAGCTAATTTTCCCAAAGTTACGCCTTAATGAAGACATCCATTCACAGCGGTGCTAATTTCATAAAGAAACATCCAGGAAAACCGTGTTAATTTCCACCCCCCCTCCCCTAATGAGCATGACGGAGGTGTTAATTAGGTGTCATTAGCCCAAAGGCTCTCCAGGTGTTCCCTGTCCTGTGTGGATGCCCCTTAGAGCTGGCAGGGCTGGGCCACTGTGGCTCAGGGCAGCCTGGTTGCTGTGTGCTGTGCAGGTGGGCTTTTCCTCTCCTCCAACACAACCAACTTACACCTTCCCCCCATTTTCACAACGAAGACTTTGGAGCGTTACATTGAAAAAGAAAAAGCTCACATTGATTATTTTTCTTTTTTTCTCCCAAGGATCTTTTCAAGAGCCTGTTTCCAAACGGGGAATAGCCCTGCCTCCCAAGCTGGCTTTGTCACACCATGCTCACACGTAGGCTGAGCAGCAGCGTGGCCCTGCGGGAGCTGAGATTGTTCTCAGGACAATGGCCGGGCAGTGAGGAAGAGTTGGGGTCCAGCCCGTGTCCGGCCCTGCATTGTTCCCTGCTGACGTTTGCCAGCAGCCAGCACCTGGCCCAATTTTTTTTTAATGTGACTCATTCCCAGGAGCTTGGAAACCTTTCTGTGACTTTTTAACCTTTTATGAAACGGTTTTCTTTTGGCTTCTGAGAGGATGCGCAGCGGGGCGATGCTGCTGGTCTCCCTGGCACCAGGAGGAGGAGAACAACGTGCTCTCAGCAGCTCAGCTCAGCAGTGCTAAGGAGCAGTTTTCCAGCCTCTTTGGTGCTTTTGCTTTTTCCCCCGTTCCTTCATTTCTCGTTTCTATCTGGCAGTGGAGCCAAAGTGCCATAGGAAAGCACTATTCAGGGTTGCTTTGGCAGCCTTGCTGTTAAGGGGCTGCCTGCTGCAGGGTCGGGACCTCTGTGTCCATGGGGTGGATGGAGGGAGCTGAATCTGTCCCAGCTGAAAGCAGTGGCAGGTCTGTATGTCCTGGTGACGTGAATGTGGCCACGTGGCTTGAGCCTTCTGCTGTCCCCATCCCGGTGTGCCTCATCCATCACAGCATCAGCACTAATGAGGAACCACTCCACTTGTAATTAATAAGCACTTGATGTTGTCTAGATTGAGGGCTACTGCGTGGTGTGAGCTGGATGGAGGAGGCAGGAGGCTCTTAATGGGCTCCCAGCAGGAGGAAAACATTTCCTACCTGCATAAGGGACTGCTTGGGGCTCTGGTAGCACTGGGGTGATGCCACTACCACAGAGCTCTCCTGGCTCCTGATCCTGCTCCTAAAGGGTTTGCTGGGGATGCTGGCTCAGCCAGAGCAGGGAATTAGGAGGGAGAAAAGGTGAGGAGTTTGTCAAGGCCTGGTTGCAATGTTAAATATTGGCATTTCTTTTGGGTGTGGAGCAGGTTTCTGCACCCCAATCTGCTTCTTGTTTCTACAACATCTTTTTCCCATTGGAGTTTTTCACTTTGGGACTGGCTTTGGCTACTTTCATCAATGCAACAAAGCCAGTGCTACTCATAATTATGTGGGGCAAGCACTCAGCTCCCAGCCTGCAGTGTGTGCTTGGGAATCAGTGTGAACTGTGATGGTTTAAGGCAAATTGAGAAGGCTTTGTCCTTCCATGGGTTCCTTCTGTGGCTGAGGACCATAACGACAACAAGGACAAGGATGCTTTTATAGCATATTTCACCTCTTTTTTCTTTCCCAGGGTTTTCAGAAAGGGGGAAATTTACCCCAACTACTCTTCTTGCAGCCTCTGTGCAATAAGCATGCATTGCAAAGAGGGGAAGCCATGCCCCAGGGATGGCTCCAGAGACCTAGAAAGGTCAAAATGCAGCATCTGGACAAGTAGCTGGGCCAGCCCCAGAAGGAGAGTACTCAGCCTTGGGAGGCTGGGGCAGGCAGCAGGCTCAGCTATGGGGTTTAGGCAATCCTGCTGTAATTACAGGAGAGCAGTGCTAATTGGTAATAGTGATAATTATGGGGCACGTGTTTGCAGATTACAGGAATTTGCAGAGAAGTGCAGTGATAAAAGAAACCTGAGGATGCATGCTTGCAGAGCGGACTTTGTTCCCATGTTGTGACAAGTGACACTTGGCTACCTTGTAATTAAAAACAAAACCCTTACACCAACCCACCAGCATGCTTATAACAGGGGCATGCTTGTATGACAGCCTTCCTCCCATCCACCTCCCTCTCTGTGAGTTCAGGATGACAGTCTCTGATCTTCCCCAGCACGCTTCTGCTGTCCCGAGGGGGCGGATGCATGTCTGAGTACCACTGTGTACAGAGACAGCATGAGGAGAGAGATGTGCCAGCCCTCTGTGTTGGCATTCTGGGCGTCATCTTCAGCATCCTGAAGGTCACCTTCATGTCCTGTTTGGTGGCCCCGTGTGTCTGTATAAGCAAGGGGTATGTGCTTCCATAGCGGGCCATGCATGGGATGCTGGGGACAGGGTGGCCTCCTTTGATGGGGAGAAGGAAGGGTGGTATGGGACAGCAGCGTGTCCCTCTGGGGTGCTTTGTCCTCATCCAGCACCACTGGTGTGCCTTGGGCGGGGGGGGGAAGGTCCCCGGAATAATCAAATTGTAAAATATTGTTTTCATTTGTTCTTTTTTTTTATCATCTTTTAATATCTGGTGAGACCGCGCAAGCAAGAGGCCTTCATGAGTTTTGAATGACAGGTTAAAGGGCTCCAATAAAGATTAGATGGTCCACTATCTACCAAGGAAATTGCATCAAAGTGGTTACTCCTGCTTGCTCCTATTAATTTCCTCTTTGTGGCTGCTAGGAGATGCCTCATATCCTGATGCGGCAGGCAGGGGCTAAGAGGCACTTTCCATTATCTCAATCATCACCGTGTTTATGAGACACTTAGTGTGGCTCTGTTGTGCTTTGTGAGTGACAGCAGCCTGGTGCCACCAACATGTGGGCTGGGTGGGGGTTACCCAGGCTTGGTGCTGAGCTTTTACCTCTGGGAACCAAAGTACGGATGTTCCCTGCCACAGCACTGGGTTTCATTGGGTTTTCAAATTGTGCCAGAGGAGGTTCAGGTTGGGTATGAGGAAAAATCCTCTTCTTAGAGCAGTGAGGCACTGCACAGCTGCACAGGGAGGCGGTGGGGTCACCATCCCTGGAGGTGTTCAGAGCTGTGGAGATGTGGCACTGAGGGATGTGGGGTGGGCTGGGCTTGGACTTGGGGATCTGAGGGGGAGCTTGTCCAGCCTAAACAATTCTGACTCATGAGTGTACTTTTGTGGTTGTTAAGGGTAGAGGTGCACCCGTTCATCCACACCCTGAAAGCCACCCTGGTGGTGGGGTGGGACAGGGGATCCCATTTTGCTTCTTCAAAGCGATGCGATGGCTGATTAACGAAGCCTCCTCCTATCAGCGATTAAAGGTGATGGGAGAAGGCTGGTGGTACCCTGGCACATCCAGCACAGCCAACTTCTCTCTCTTCTCTCTGCAGCCTGCCCAGCTGGGACATTCAAAGCCAGTCAGGGTGCGGGGCTGTGTGCCCCATGTCCCCCCAACAGCCGCTCCAGTGCTGAGGCCTCACCGCTCTGCGCCTGCCGCAATGGCTACTTTCGGGCTGACCTGGACCCACCGACAGCTGCCTGCACCAGTGAGTATCAGGGAAGCTCAGACCTGCTCCTGCTGTGCAGTTTGGAATAGGGAGAGGGGTTCTGTGTGGCCATGGTGCTGTTTGTGGGCTGTAAGAGGTGGCAGCATGGGCCTCGAGCCTGGGTTTTGGTGAGGAGGGAGTAAGGAAGGAGGAAGAATCTGCAGCTCTTTGCAGACTGGTGGGAAAGTGAGTGCTGGCCTCAATGCCTCCAAACTGCCCCGAAAAATCAGTGCATTGAGTCAGAAGCTTTAACACGAGACCCTTAGAAAAGGCTCAGCAGAGATGTTCTCTCTCCATGTGGTTTGCAGAGCCATGAGCTGCTGGGAGTGCCAACCATCTCCTCTTCTGCTGTGGGCTTGCATCCTTTGAGCATGGGAGACCCAAAGCATGGAGCTTGGTGGTGACAGTGCTGTCCCCTCACCTTGTGGCTGCCTGGCCAGCCGGGTTCCTGTGGAGGTGGTTCAGCTGAGTTCTCATCTGCGTCCCACTTGTTACAGTCTTTAAGGTGTGTGGTTGGGACTTCCTGTGCCTTATCTGATAGAAGATCTGCTGGAGATGGGCTTTGCTCAGAATCACAGAATGGCCAGCTTTGGAAAGGACTTCAAGGATCGTGAATCTCCAACTCCCCTGCCTCATGCAGGGCCACGCACCTCCACATTTAATACCAGACCAGGCTGCCCAGGGCCCCATCCAATCTGGTCTTCAACACCTCCAGGGATGGGGCATCCACAGCCTCTCTGGTCAGCTGTTCCAGCACCTCACCACTCACTCTCTCTGTAAAGAACTTACTATTTGGAAACTGCATTTTTTTGAAGGTGTTGGGATGCTTCCCATGTTGACTGCACCACATTATCTTCCACGTGCAGCCAGTGGTGCTTGGTGCAGTGCTGTGCTTCAGTCTCAGTGTGTGTCAGTGCCTCTGTGCTGAGCTGGAACTGTGTTTGTTGTGGCTTGGACTGGTGGAGCAGCTGTTGGCAGGCAGAACTGCATCTGAACCTGTGTCTGCATTGTGCCTCATTATGTTGTTGATTTACAGGGCTGCTGTGCAAAAGGATTACAGTATTAGGAAAATAATCCATTTGCTCATTTTTATTTCTTCTTGTTGAAGCTTAATTTTCAAACGGGCTAATTTGAGGTGCCAGCTGTTCTCTGTCAAAGTTATTCTGTGTCATGGGAGCAAACCCTTCTCTATCTTCATTTAGTGTATTAGCTGAGCATTATAGGGAAGTCCTCGTGGTAAAGCAGTGCCATGACCTCGATCTGGGCAGCTCCAGCCGGATACTCCTCCACTGTACCTTTTCTTTTTCCAAAATCCTTTAGAGCTCAGAACTTCAGAGCTGGAGCCTGCTGCCTGCATTGGCACTGCAGAACTGGCTGAGCATTCTTGGCTGGTGTAAAAAGGCTTTTTCTCTTTTTCATCTATTTATTAATGGTCAGAGCATGAGGGCATTGCCTGTTCCTTCTGATAATCAGGGGAAAGCTGTACTTAAGGACACGCAGAACTCACTTCTCCTTTTCTTGCTGCTTTCCCCTCTAATCCTATTATCAGAGCTGGTTTCTCCCACTGCATTTCCAGCAGCCTTCCTCATGGTGAGGAGGGGAGCACGGCCCCATTGTAGGTGGTGGCCCGGTCCCAAGTGATGCTGTGCAGCAGCACCTCAAATCCAGCACAGCCCTGTGGGAGAGGATGCTGCACTACTGATCCTCCACAACAAGCACATTTACTCTGCTGGAGGGAAGAGGAACTAAATGGATGGGAATCTTCTGTTGGATTCAATTTTACTTATAAGACCTTGTGTTTTTTTTTCTTGCTGTTTTAACACAATGCTTCTATCTGCTGTATCCGTGGCAACAGATCAAGGCTCCTGAAGTGCCTGCCTGGATATTGGCGAAGGATAAGGGGCAAGGACACCCCACCAGGGCTCTGGGGTCCCCTGAGCTCCCTGGGGTCAGTGGCTGGAGCAGGGCAAATCTCCATTGCCCTGAGTGCTTGCAGCTCGTTGCCTCCATCCCAGGGAGCGATTGCTTTGCATCACTGCATTCCCTGATGCAGGAGGCTCCCTGGGACATCGGTCCTTCAGCAATCTCTCCTCCAGGATCTGCTCCTTTATTGTTTTTATTGCTCAGCTCTGAATTCTTCCTAATGTAGGAAAGTCCTTTTTTCTTCCTTGGAAGTGCAGTGCTCACACGCCAGGCCCACTGGCATGAGGAATTAATTGCAGACAGCGCTTGGGTTTTTGGAGAAGGGCTCATCCTAATGACACAGCTGTGCATTTCATGTCTCTCTGTGGTGTGGCTGGCTCCCCATCCATCCCAGCCCTGTTTTGCCCGCATATGGAATTGCTGCTGTATTTAATTCCCATCTCTGGGCTCTTCCCTGCAGAGCAGCCCCAGGCACGTGTCCATTGCTCAGCAGAGGCCGAACTGTCAGTGTGCTGTTAACGCTGTGTCAACTGAAAGCAGGGCAACGAGGAGGGCAGTGTGTGCAGTGCTGACTCAAGTCAAATAACTGTATGCATGTTGCTACATTAGCTAAACTCGGGGCTCTGAGCAGTGAAGATATGCGGCTGTGCTTTCTGTTTTGATAAAGGGATTTGAAAAGAGAACTGTGGAATCTGTAGAGTTGGAAGGGATCTTTAACGGCCATCTAGTCCAGCTCCCCTGCAATGAACAGAGGCATCCACAGCTCGATCAGGTTGCTCAGAGCCTGGTTAAGCCTGGCCTTGAATGTCTCCATAGTTGGGGCTTCCACTGCGTATCTGGACAACTGGTTCCTGTGCCTCATTGTAAAAAGGCTTTTTCCTTAAATCCAGCCTAAATCTACTCTTTTTAAGTTTGAAACCGTTTTCCCTTGTCCCATCACAGCAGAACCTGAGCCAGGAAAGGGACAGACTTTCTATCATGTCCAGCTGCCATCCACCAGTGCCCTGAAGTCCTTTTTGGCAGGGCTGTGCTCTGTCCTTTCATCCCCAAGCTTGTATTGATAGTGGGTGTTGCCATGACCCAGGTGCAGACCTTGCACTTGGATTTGTTGAACCTCATGAGGTTCTCCTGGGCCACTGCTCAACCTGCTTGGGTCCCTCTGCACGGCGTCCCATCCTTTGGGCACGTTGACATCTCACAGCTTGGGGTTTCAAGATTGCCAAACATAAATCATCAATTTACATTTGTGAGACCATTTTTCAGTTGATATAAATACACGACCTGCACATTTTCAAATGGAATATATAGATCTGCAGCCAAATATTCAACTCAGAAGTCTAATCGTGTCTCTTTACTGGACTTTTGTAATTCCTATCTTAACAGAGAAGAATATCCTTTGCTTCACAGTCATGCCTTATTCATATCATTGCTTTTTGCCAGTATACACATCTGTGAACTACTATTGTCAAGGATGAAGTACACGAAGAGAAAAATTTCATCCAAAAGCTCTGAACACTTTGAGAGCTCATTAAGAACTGCAGCCACTGCCATTGAATCAAACTGGTGTGTTAGTTTCACAAAGACAAGGTCACATATCCCACTCGTGTCGTGGTTTCATGCATGACAGGGTGGTAAGAAGGGGGAGAAGCCCTCGCTGGCCCCTTTCAGCCTCCTGTCCCCTTTTTGGGAAGAAGAAAACCAAAAACGACCCAATTAAGATAAGGAGAGATAATAAATTTACTACACATGGTAAAAGAATGTAAGGTAGTGGTATTAAAAAGGAGTTAGAGGTAATAAATCAAACAAATTGGAAACAGAAGAGAGATGTTCTTCCCCATCACTGTGCTATTCTGCCTCTTTAACCCAGGATTGGGAATGATGTGAGGAGTACTGGAGACTTCTGGGGGCTGTCATTTCCCAGTGTATCATCTTCTTGGAGCGCAGCATGCAGGCTCTTGTTCATCACTGGCAAATATGCATAGCTAATGGTGGTGACTGTGTTGAAAAATAGCCTTTTGTAGCTGATAATTTGCTCTATCAGTAGTGTTATTGTGCTCTTCGTATCTGTTGTCATTTCCATGGAAATAAATAGGAGGCATTACTTCTAGAGTGACTCATGTATATGCAGCTCAAAGTGATTTCTGCTCACTGAATGTGACCCATGTAAGCAAAAAGGTTGGACACCCATGCTCTGGAGTAGCCATGCCAGCTCCTGGCTTGGAATTTCTCATAGCTTTTGTCAATGGACTCTTGTTTGACATCCCACCCAATGCTGTGGCTAAATTCCTGCATTCCCAACCTGAAATACTTGACCACTTTCCATTTAGGTCTTACTTTGGTCCATCGTTCCTCTGGTTTTGTGTTCTTCTTGCTAGGCAATGTTTCTTGTGATAATCTGCTTGAGATAAGCTTCTGGGGGTACCCTATAAAGCCTTGAGCCATCTTAGCATTGTCTGATGGTTAAAATGGATCCAAATTCACAGCATGCTGCGGGGGTTCTTTTAGGCAAGAAACAAGTCTGTGGAGAATGAAAAGTATGGGGAGCCCCAGTCTGAACCCCAAGCCCCTTCCTTGTGCTGGTGGTGTGGTCGGTTGGAGAAAGGTGGAGACTAAGATGAGGTTGGGGTTAGGTTTGGGATTGGTGGAGATGAGGATGGGAAAGTCTGCACCATCTCCAAAGAGGTGGAGGTGACGTCGCTCCTGAGTCAGGAGGTGGTGAATAGGTGGCAGATGGAGCTTGGGGTGTCGTCTTTAGGGCTGAAGCACCCTGGGCTCCTGCCCTGCCCTACAGCACGCAGCATTTGGCACGAGGACCTGATTCAACCCTTCTCCTTCCCTGTAGGCGTCCCCTCCGGTCCACGCAACGTCATCTCCATCGTCAACGAGACCTCCATCATCCTGGAGTGGAACCCACCGCGGGAGACGGGAGGCCGGGATGATGTCACTTACAACATCGTCTGCAAGAAGTGCCGGGCGGACCGGCGTGCCTGCTCCCGCTGCGACGACAACGTGGACTTTGTGCCCCGACAGCTTGGGCTGACAGAGACCCGTGTCTTCATCAGCAGCCTCTGGGCACACACGCCCTACACCTTTGAGATCCAGGCGGTCAATGGGGTTTCCAACAAGAGCCCCTTCCCACCTCAGCACGTCTCCGTGAACATCACCACCAACCAAGCTGGTGAGTCCCAGGGTGGCACGTGGGATCCTGGGATCGATACCTGGCTTTCATCTCTGCTAGATTTATAGGGGATGAAGTGGCCTTGCCTTTCCTCTTGGCAGAGGACCCGGCTGTGTGAGGAGCGTGGCAGGCGGAGGGGTTGGGAATCTGTTTGCATGGGGAAGAGACAGGGGATGGTAATTTCTGTGCTGTGCTGAGTGCATAACAGGCAACCTTTGTTAACCTGCTCCCTCAGGAACGCAGGAGACAGACACTGGCGTAAATATTTTAGTATCCCAGTTTCTGGGAATACAGTGCTATCAGGCTCTTGTGTTATGTTTGCACCTGGCTGGCATTTTTGTTTCCTTAGCCACATGCAGTCAAACCCACTGCTGGCACCAAGAGCGTTGGTTCTGGGGAGGGTTTTGGGGCTGTGTTTTTGCTGCCCCTGCTACTTCATGTACCCATGCTTCCACAAACACCTCTCCCATTGCTCCACCTGTGCTTCCCTGCTGCTGTCTTCACTCATTCTGGCTCTGCAGGGGGTTTTTCCCTATTAGGGCTGCCCGCACAGCATTATCCCCACTAGGCAGGCAGGAGCATGGGGGGCTGCAAATGCAGCAGTTAACACCACAGCAATCAAGCTAGGTGTTTAATTTCTGAAATAGTGAGCGTCTTAAAGCAGATATGAAGAGATTAAAAAAAAAAAAAAAGAACAAGAAAAAAAGATTAAACATGCTGAGTACACAAAGACAGTGCTGGACTATTGACATCTCCTGAGGCACAAGGCAGACGTGCAGCTTGGTCTTATGTGCCAAGCAGGACAAGATGATTTTCCTGCTTTCCTCCCACCTTTGTCCCAGGCATGGGGAGGATGATGGTGATGAGGAGGAAGGCAGAGAGGCTGGGACATGATGCTGGCCCTGTCTGGGTCTCCCTGGCACAACTGCAGCTGCATAGTGACTCGGGTGCCTTTTTGGAGGCTTTCAGTAGGAATAGGAGCAGGATTGTTCCAAATCTCATATGGAACTTGGAAGACAAAACTGCTGGGGTGGTTTGATGCTGTGCTGCTTGGGCTTTGGAAATATTTCTCCTTGGAGCTCTGCTTGTCCCCAGGCAGCCTCCCCTTGCTGTGCTGCGGGAGATGCCGTCGAGTGGCCAGACTACAGAGTGAGCTCAGGGAGAAAGAGCACTGAGGATTTCCAGATCCCTAATTAAAAAGAGTAATTGCTTTAAGTAGCAGAAGTCCCCTGCCGACTTGTCTCTCGGGCTCCGCGTCAGCCACTGCGGTGCCGTTTCCCCGCTGCCGCACTGGTACCTCATCCCACGGAGTGCACAGCTGCTGGCGTGACATGAGGTTCTGCCCTCCCTGGGACTTGCCCTCGGCGTTAATTCCTCCCTCTCGCTTCCTTTGCAGCACCCTCCACTGTCCCCATCATGCACCAGGTGAGTGCCACCATGAGGAGCATCACGCTGTCCTGGCCACAGCCGGAGCAGCCCAACGGCATCATCCTGGACTACGAACTGCGCTACTATGAGAAGCTGAGCCGCATCTGCACGCCTGATGTCAGCGGCGCTGTGGGCTCCAGACCTGCAGCAGTAAGCTTGGGGGAACCCCGTGATGGATGGTGGGCACAGGGTGGGTTACAGCATTGCTGCAACCTGCCTGAAATGTGTATCTGCAGGACCACAACGAGTACAACTCCTCCATGGCCCGCAGTCAGACCAACACGGCCCGGCTGGAGGGGCTGCGCCCCGGCATGGTGTATGTGGTGCAAGTGCGAGCAAGGACGGTGGCTGGCTATGGGAAGTACAGTGGGAAGATGTGCTTCCAGACACTGACTGATGGTGAGTGGGCAGCTGGGGTGTGCAGGGGGAGGAGAACGCATTGCCAGCCACAGCTTTGGGCTTTAATTGGATTAAATGAACTTGCCTCTGCAAAACTCTCCCCAGGCGGGCAGTGTGACAAAAGCCAGGTGATTTAAAGGGATGTCTTCTTAACCGCCAGCTGGAGGAGTATGCTGCTGTAAATCTCTTTGCTCTGTTTGCTCCCCTGCTATTTAGCTGTGGTTTTGTCTTTCCTGCATCCCTCCATGGTGATGGGGCTGTGTCCTGGTCTCCTCCCTGTCCTCCTTTCTCCAGGCGTTTGAGGCATCCCTCCCGTAAATCAGTGCTGCCAGCCCTTTCATCAGCTTTATTGCTCTTCTCTGAATAACACTAATAAAAGATGCAGAGAGCACAGGCACGTGGAAAAAAGCTGTTCCTCCTCCTGCCCTGGGTCACCATCTGCACGCGAGGTGCTGGCCCCAGAAGGACCCGAAGCTCTGCTGAGATGTTGGGAGCCACAACTGAGCCTTCCAGTAAAAACCCAGAAGGTTCAGACCCATCTCTCTTGGGATGCCTCACTCCAAGGTGGTACAGTGGAGGGGAACAAACCTCATGGTGTCTTCTGACCCCCAAACCAGCATCATGCTATCATTCCTCTGGCCCCAGCCCTTCCTAATGTATGGCCACTCAGAAATAAGCACCAATGATTCATGGGATAACTTTCTATCACTGACAGCTCTGGGACAAATCCAGCAGTCAGTGAGTGCAGGAAGAAAATTTCAGTGGCCCCTCTGCTTCTCCAGATGCTGAAGTCCCTGCAAAACCCCTTTTCTGCCACTGCCAGCTTGGTTTGGGCTCCAGTTTGGCAATGCTGTGGGTCTGAGCCCTCTGCTGCTGGTTTCCTAAAGCTTTGCTTCTGCTTCACCAACCTCTGCAGGCTGATGAATGGCCATAGCTAGGACTGCAAAAGCACCGTGGTGTTGGCTGTGGGTCCCCAAAGAGCCTTGAAGGAACCAGGCTTGGAGGCTGCTAGAAATGATGGTTTAATATTATTAACACAGATAAAGATCCCCTGTGTTCATCATGTTGTGATCATGAGAAGCATGTCCCGCTGTACCTGGGTGGATGAGATGTGCTGCTGCCAGACCCACAGAGCACCCTATGGTGGAAAGGGGTCTTTGCAGGCACCCAACAACCCAGCCCCTATCTCCATCCCAGCATCTGTCCCCCAAATCTCCTGGTTTTCCCGATGTGGGGCCAGGTGGCAGCCAGCTACAGGTGCCTGGAGAGGAGGGCATGCAATGGGCAAGCTTCTGCAAGTGGGGAGAGGGAAAGCCCATGGGGGAGACTGAGTGGAATGAGATGGCACTGACCCTTCAGCATCCGAAATTAGAGAAGCAAGAAGAAAAAACCCTGCCTCAGATAAGCAATTAATTGAAATTTAGTAAGAATCAATACTGGAGGTTATTAAATAATAATTGTTAGAGGAGAATTTCTCTGGATTTGAGCAGTGTGCAAGGGAGAAATTCAGCTGTTAGTAATTAACTGCAGAGCAGAAGAATGCAGATAAAAGAGTGCTAAATATTTCCTTTTGAAGTGAATGTTCTTTTAACCCTTGCCTGTGGCTCCTGACACAACTAATGGGACAGCTGTCAGCTGGTTAGGTATTACTCCACGGACCTAAGAGCAAAAATGTCAAAGCTTGTCACTGTGCACAGGAAGCAATCTTAATGTGGCCCGAAGTTAGGTACAGAAATGAAATAAAAATGGCCTTCTGTTGAAGGAGGTTTGCAGCAAAATCTGATGCTCTCAGATGTGCCTCTTCTCCCGTGGGTCTCTTTGCCTACTTTCCTGGAACGTTTAGGAGCCCTGTGAGACTCCATGAGTTAATTCCTAGGACCTTCTCTTCCACATTTTCAGCCTAATGCGTGTGAGAGCTCAGCACAGTGGTCCCTTGCCGTGTGCTCTCCTTGCTGACTGCCCTTGCTGTGAAGCATTCCCCGTGGGCCCATTTTGGGAGCTCTGCCCCATTTCTGGGGGCTGCCTGGGAGGCCTCATTGCATCCTTTTCCTTCTGCAGATGACTACAAGTCTGAGCTGAGGGAGCAGCTGCCATTGATTGCAGGATCTGCAGCGGCCGGCGTGGTCTTCATCGTCTCGCTGGTGGCTATCTCCATAGTCTGCAGCAGGTGGGGATGTGAGAGAGGTTTGGGGTGGGAAGGGATGGTAGGGAACGTGCTTGGGCTGGTCACCACAGCACAGGGGGAGGCACTGATGCGTGGGCTGCTCCGTGGGGAGTGGATTGGGGCAGAGATGCTCATGGAGGTATCTGCTCTGTCCTCCTAGGAAGCGAGCGTACAGCAAGGAGGCGGTGTACAGCGATAAGCTGCAGCACTACAGCACTGGCAGAGGTGAGCAGGGAGAAAATGGGCACGGAGAGGGGTTGGGGGGCTTTGTGTTGGTGGGGAGGGAGAAGAGCAGAAGGGGGCAAAATGATGATAAAGGAGCAGAGCAATAGCTCCTGGTGTTACCCAGCCCTGGCAAGCATTGCAAGCACCAGCAAACTCCATTTACATCCTTCTGGAGAAGCTTTCCAGGTGTTTCTGCCTCCTTTTGAGGACTCAGTGTATGGGATGAGTGGGGTTTAGGTGATTAGAAATAAATTTGCTAGCCAGGTCTGTGGGCAGACTGCAGCATTGTGCCTGTGCAGGGATAGAGTTCAAGTTTTTTCTTGCATTTTTAGCTATTTCCTTGCTGGCAGCAGTAAATCTGTGTTGCTTTAGTGGGATTTTGCTGCATGCATGAGAGGAAATCTTCAACTTTAGGGTGGGTCCTGCCAAAACAAAGCCCACACAGATGCCTGTACACTGGGAACCAGTCTGAGAGAAAGCAGAGCAGTAAGCATAGGAGGCTGGGGCTGACTTGGGGTTGATGTTTGGACTAGATGATCTCAGTCAGGTCTTTTCCAACCTTAATGATTCTATGAGGCTGGCAGTTCCCTGCTGAACTCACAAAGCAGCCAGCCTGGCAAAATCAGATAGGGAAAGGAAGGATTCAGGGGGTTCAAAACCAGGTAGAAAAATGTTGAAACGGATCTTGGTATTTCATTTTTAAAGCCAGGCAATGGCAGCACAGCAAAATTCTGTCAAGGTTAGCAAGCCTCCAGGCGTATGGTTGTTACATGCATTGGAGCAAAACAGGTGGGAAATTTGTGGTGGGTGACTAATGGGGAGCTGAGGGCAGCAGCTGGAACAAACAGCCCGCTCAGTTCATGGCATGGCAATTAGAGCATCTCTGTTGGCTCCGCCTGGATCGCCCAAAGGCCATCCGTGCTGGGACTGCTGACCTGAGGTTTCGAGGTGGTGAGAAGTGGGCTGCCATTTCCGTGTCTCATCCCTGTGGGCCATCAGCAAGGATGCACGTGTACGTGCCAAAGGTGCTCTGTCCTTTGAACTTGGGGTGTTCTGCTGGTTGAGGTCTGCACAGAGAGCTAGTAAGTGGAGGTGCCTGAATCCCACTCATTCTGATGGGATGGGGACATGAGTACCTCTGGGGGATTTGGGGTGGGAGCTGAATCTGGTGATTGCTGAGCCCAGGATGGATCAGTTGGTGTTTAAAAGCCAGCCTGTATTGGCAGCAGGCAAGGAACTTTGGTGTTATTTTCTCCTTTATTTATTCAATTTTTTGATCAGTGAGTCAGTCTTGGTTACGATCCTGTAAATCCCTTTGTAATCCTGGCTGGAGCATCAGCTGCTCTTGTAAAAAAATTTATGGGGCAGTTAAAGTGTTCGAGACAGAGCCGTAAAGGGATTTATGAACTGGGAGATGCACAGATGGCTTCATTGCAATCCTCGTCCCTGGCCCTGGAGGCGCAGATCTCCTGCCCCAAATGCCCCTGATGCGGAGCAGGCAGTGCTGCAAGCAGCGTGTTCTGTGCTTGAGCAATGCCCCACTCCCCCAGGATGACCTCGAGGACCAGGTGTCCCCCATGCTGACATGTTTTTAGGGTTAAGATTTACCATCTCTATCCCCCGTCCTTCCTGGCTTGCCATTGGGGCGAGGGGCAGAGCCTGCATCCTCCTGCCTTGTCCGATTCCTGCTGCTGCTGCCCAGCAGGGGTGGGTGAAAAGAGGCCAGCAAAGCCTCGGTTTATGGCTCCGCACAGGTTTTTGATTATAATTGCTGCACTCTGTCAATTTAGTGGCAGCCACAAAACTATCAGAGCCCTTTTTGGGTAAATAAATATTTCTTAAATAATGCATACAGCCTCATAAACTTGCCACTTCCCTTCCCATAAAACCCGCTAATTGTAGCTGTGGTCTGGAAGCGTCCCCCTGGATGCTCACCAGCAGCTCCTGCCCACCTCGTCACCCCTCTGGGGTCCCCTCCTCTAACCTTGGTGGAGGGGTCAGGAGAGGACAACTGTGGGACACGGAGGTGTGACAGAGCAAATAGCAGCTGATTTAATGGACTTGAGGATGAGAGAGCAGTTCTTGGCTGTGGCACAATGACTCTTGATTTTCTCTCCCTTTTGATGCCTCTCCTGTGTTTCTCACCACAAGGGTCTCCAGGGATGAAGATTTACATTGACCCTTTCACTTACGAGGACCCCAACGAGGCAGTGCGTGAGTTCGCCAAGGAGATTGATGTCTCCTTTGTGAAGATTGAAGAGGTCATTGGAGCAGGTGGGTCCCCACTGCCATGTCCCTGCCCTTTCCACCCTCCTGGGTGGGTTGTTTGGGGGGTGGTGAGCAATTGCTTGTGCATCACTTGTTATATACATTCGTATATAGTCGTAACTATTAACCTTTTCCTTTTCTCTATCTTAGTAAATAGTTTTATCTCAACCCACGAGTTCTACTTTTGTTTTTTTTTTTGCTGGGTTTTTCCTGGGGGTGCACGTGTGATCCTTCGTTGGGAAATGCAAAGTTCTCAAGGGTTATCAGGCTTTTGGTGGATTAGGGAACATGAGGTTGGTTTCTGCTCTCAAAGCTTCTCTAAGGTTGGGAAGAACTCTAATTTATTCGCTGGCCAGCTGTGGGATTTCCTGGTTTATTTCCGTGAGATTAGAAGGAAAAAAACAGATCTCATTCTAGTCTGTGCCATATTCCCATACATATGTATGGGAACACACGCATACATGTGTCTATATATCATCTGTGGTGCCTTTATTGCAGTTTTTAACTAACTGTGCCATGCTCATAGAAGGGAAAGTGTGAAGGTGGGGGGAAGCTGCAAAGAAGCAGTGAGCTGTTTCAGTCAGGATCAACTTCGGCAGCGTATCGGCTGCCTTTTGCTGCTCATCAAGGCAAAGCAACTGTAAGCCTGGCTTAATTGTAATCCTTCCACAGATAAATTTCACCTTGGTGAAGGAAAAGCTCTCCCAGTGGAAATGAGAGGGAGATTTTTCTGTGTTCTAAATCAGAGCGCAGCGATGGAAACAGCCCAATTATTTTCCCTTCCTAGATAAGTTATGTGCAGAGAGGTGGCTGTGACTGTCAGTGCGCTCACACCTTGCACTTGACGTGGTCCTTAAAAGTTGGTGCCTTTGCTGTACAATTTTTTCTGGGAGGAATTCCCAAGGGCAGCTCCTGGCTCCGGCAATGGGCTCTGCCAGTGTGGAGGAGGCTGTAAGCCCAGCTATGTCCTCAGCATCTTTCAAAGAGTATGGAGGTTTGTAGAAGGGAGCACCCATGGCTGCCAACTGGCCAATGCTTCTCAGCCAACTGAATTGGATGACAAGCTGCTGTTGTTCTATGCAGATTTGTATGGGGATGGTAATGTGTGGTCTTGCTCTTGCAGGGGAGTTTGGAGAGGTGTACAAAGGCCGCCTGAAGTTGCCTGGCAAGCGGGAGATCTACGTGGCCATCAAAACACTGAAGGCTGGCTATTCAGAGAAGCAGCGTCGGGATTTCCTGAGCGAAGCCAGCATCATGGGGCAGTTTGACCACCCCAATATCATCCGGCTGGAAGGGGTGGTGACCAAGAGCCGACCAGTCATGATTATCACAGAGTTCATGGAGAATGGGGCCCTGGACTCGTTCCTGCGGGTGAGGCAAAGTGGACTATCGTTTGGCTGCAGGGTTTGGGAGCCAGGCCTCCATGATCCTTACATGTGCTCTTTCCGATCACAGCAAAATGATGGGCAGTTCACGGTGATCCAGCTGGTGGGGATGCTCAGAGGGATTGCTGCTGGGATGAAGTACCTGGCAGAGATGAACTATGTCCACAGGGATCTGGCGGCCAGGAACATTCTTGTCAACAGCAACCTGGTGTGCAAAGTGTCAGACTTTGGCCTCTCACGCTACCTGCAGGATGACACATCTGATCCCACCTACACCAGTTCCTTGGTATGTACCTTGCTTCCCACAGGGACAAATCTGTGAGCCTCCCATTGAGTCCAGTTCACTAAAAATGGCAAAGATCTGTGCAGCATCAGTCGTGCTGCACTGCGCCTGCTGGCAGTGCTCAGAGAGGCACGTCCTGCCCTCATCCACCCCTTACTTCTTCTTGCTGCTTTCCTTCCATCAGCAGGGAAGGATCTGCTGCTTTGCTGCTGCCTTGCTTGGGAAGTGGCCACTGACATTCCTTGCATCATCCGCTTTTCCATTCCTTCTCTATGAGTTTAATGTCTCCCTGCTCCCAGAGCACCTCTCTGCTCTATCCTGACCAACAAACGGGTCAGGTGGGACCAGGGATGCATCACTAGGTACTGTATGCATCACATAAACCCCCTGGTGAGCTGTCACTGGTGTTATGGATGAGCAGATGAGAAGGCTGTCAGCACCCTGCTGACCTGCTGGGCTCTCTAATTGATTAATCAGTTATTAAAAGAGCTAATAACCCTCCTAACGCTTTGTAAACATTTCATAACACAGCAGTACAGCACAGTGGCAGGATCCTGCCTCGGGGGAAGCTGGAGGCAGTGCATCTACTACAGGCAGACACCAGGACAGCCAGGAGAGGCATAGGTTGGGTGCAAGAGTGTGCATGTCCTACAAGGACCCCTGCAAAGCAGTTTGTTGTGTTGCCAGGCTGTGCCCAGGTGTGTTTCAATGTAATGTAGTTTGTGACAGGAACACCGAGGAGATGAGGCAATTGGGATTTCATCAGACTGAAGTAAATGGATCAAGAGAGTTATGCTGCTGCCGGGGGAGCAGAGGGAGCTGCTGGGTTTCTGACTGGACTCTCGTCTACTCCCACTCCCTGCTCAGACCTATCTGGTGGCCTTTGAGTAGAAACACATCAGGTTTTGGTGTAAAGACCTTAGCAGTAACTGAGAAGAGACCTGAAGTAGCCTTTTTCCACCTTCAGAGATAAAAGAGATTATCTCATCTGTGTTTTTATTTAATTTAGGCCATAATAGATCTCCTCGGCAGCTGGGAAATGATTCTGTGCCTGCGATTACATCACTCTGCCTCCCACAGCAGGTTTTTAGCTCTGGGGGAAAGGCAGGAAAAACAACCTAGCAGTTAATTTCTCCATTTATAGTTATTCAAATAAAATTTTTGCCATTCAGCCTTAAAGAGCAGCTGATGCTTCATTGGAAGGGATAGGGAAAACAATAGTGCTCGACGATTTACAATGCAGCTCTGCCCTGGGGCACATACCATGCGTTTCTGTGCTTTTTCCTTCATCTTCTCACTTTCTGCTGTCATTTTGTGGAGCACCGGTGACCGTGAAGCACTCTTTGCCTTGAGCAGGATGCATGTGTGGGCTGCAAAGGGTTGGGATGCTGTCACTTTCCCTGCTGGAACTGGGTGGCAGTGCCATTGTAGGGGCTTTCAGAGGCTGTCCCCAGCCAGATCTTCCCTGCCGTCCCCTGAGAATTACAACATCAATCCCCAGAGGTGTTTTGGGCATGGCTGTGACTCACCAGCTCCTGTTTTCTCAGGGTGGGAAGATCCCTGTGCGATGGACAGCACCGGAGGCGATTGCGTACCGCAAGTTCACGTCAGCCAGTGATGTCTGGAGCTATGGCATCGTCATGTGGGAGGTGATGTCGTTCGGGGAGAGGCCCTACTGGGACATGTCCAACCAGGACGTAAGTGTTGGAGGCTCGCTGCTTACTGGAAAACGATGAGGTTGAGGTGGAGCTGGAGCTGCTCCAGACTCCGCAGCCTCGGCGGCTCTCGGTTTCTGAGATGAAACAGGCTGGCGAGCGAGAGGGATGGCGGGAGGGAATCTGGGAAGAAAAGCCAGTGGGCTGGTAATTGGACTTCAGGAAGCTGCAGCGCCTTTGAAAATGTTCAGAGGGTTTGCAAGCTGGGAAAGAGCTTTGGAAGTGCGACTGCCGCACTCCAACGCAATCCGCCGAGATAATGAGCGGCAGCGCTCTGCCGGAGGAACTGCGGTGCGCGGAGCATCAGAGTGGAGATTAACCTCCTGCTGCAGCTCCTCCCGCTCGTTTTGCTGGTGGCAGCGGGTTGGCAGCACTGTCCCCGTGCCATCGTGCTCCTCACGTGCCGCTCCGTGCCCTGCAGGTCATCAATGCCATCGAGCAGGACTACCGGCTCCCGCCGCCCATGGACTGCCCGGCTGCTCTGCACCAGCTGATGCTGGACTGCTGGCAGAAGGACCGCAACACCCGGCCTCGCTTCGCCGAGATTGTCAACACCCTCGACAAGATGATCCGCAACCCGGCAAGCCTCAAAACTGTGGCTACCATCACCGCTGTGTGAGTCCCCGAGCGAGGTGCCGCATCTGGTGGGACCGGGATTCAGGGATTGCGTCCTCACCTCGGTGCCTCTCTGTTCCCTTCTAGGCCTTCTCAGCCCCTCCTCGACCGCTCTATCCCTGATTTCACTGCCTTTACCTCAGTAGAAGACTGGCTGAGCGCCGTCAAGATGAGCCAGTACAGAGACAACTTCCTGAGCGCTGGATTCACCTCCCTCCAGCTGGTCGCCCAGATGACATCTGAGTACGTCTGGTGTCACCGCGTGGCTGCTGGTTTGTGGGACCGGTCGGCACAGCTGTCTGTTGACATCCCTCTGTCTGTCTTGCAGAGACCTCCTGAGAATAGGAATAACGCTGGCTGGGCACCAGAAGAAGATCCTGAACAGCATCCAGTCCATGCGCGTGCAGATGAGTCAGTCTCCGACCTCGATGGCGTGACGTCCCTCGCTCGACGGGGAGGGAACGGGGAGGGCAGGCAGCGGAGGTGGGAGGGGAGGAACTGATGGGAGCCGTGGGGCCGCAGCTGGAGAGGGGCAGCCACGGCCGGACCGCGGAGGACGTTCCTGGGACTCGCCTCGGCCTGGTGACTTCCATCCCTCACCAACAGAAGCACACTTACCGATGTCACGGGGGACAGCGTATAAATAAGTATAAATATGTACAAATCATATATTTAAAAAAAAAGAAAAAAAAAAAAAAAAGAACAAACACACACACAAAAAAATAACAAACCCCAACCACCAGTGAAGACAAACCAATGTGCGTTGGGGGGAAACAAACCCAAATCCTAGAGACCAGACTCCAATCCCACCGCCAGTGAGCAGTAGTCAGAACTGAGGAGGAGGAGGCAGGGGGCTGTTGGGGAAGGGAGTGGCGTCACATTGGGTTTCCCATCCAGAGAAGCCTCCGGCAGCGACCGCCTCGATCTTCTTTTCTTCCTTGGCTCCTTCCTGCCCGGCCCCTCCTGCTGCCCTGCTCCCTTCTCTGCTCATGGCCTGGTGGAAGCCTCCGCAGCCGCTGACCGTGGTGTCCAGGTGTCGCTCTGCCAACTACCAAAGGACTTCGCTGACCACTGCATGGGGGATCCGACGCAATCCAGTTAATGTCTTCATATTGAAGAAGAGATGTACCTTCAATAGAAAAAAAACTTTTGGGTTTTTTTTTCTTTTGCTTGCATTTTTTTTGCAAAAAGGGAAAAAAAAAAAAAAAAAAACACCACACAAAAAAAAAAAAAAAAAAAACCTTACAAAAAATACAAAACAAAACAAATTCCATCATGGCAAATGGAAAGAGGTGTTCCCATGTGTGTGTGTGCGCGCGTGTACGTTGTCAACCTACTGTGGACTTGCTGCTTGCCCGTGACCAGAGATCACCACCGACCTCAATGCAGGCGGGAGGAGGAGCCGCGGTGCGTGGGTACTGGGTTGTGGAGGAGGAGGAGAGATGCTCTGGGGAAGAGACTGCTGAGGCTTCCACAGCCTCGGGGATCTGCAGAAGACGGCTACGGAGAACTTTATTTCCCCTATCTTGTGGACCTAAGGATTTTGATATTGAGTTACGGACTTAGGTTTCATGGCTTCAGAGGTAGGTCCGTGTGTCTCGTGTACCTCTCATCCTTTTCTGTATGTTTCTGCTTGCTTCCTTGAAGCCTCTTCCAGCGAATATTTTCCCGTGTTTAATTTGACTTTTTATTGTTATTTTTTATTGGTTCTACCACTGGTCTCTTTTGCAAATTGATCTAGTTAAAATTACTAGATGCATGTCAGTGTTTACACAGAATATTGTAAGTCTGGGCAATCTAACTTCTCTCTGTGGATCGTGCGGAGAGTTTATAAAATGAATGAACTCTTAATAAGGCTTTTACTTAGCTGGCTGTGTGCGACTTGTAGAGATCCATCATTGCCAGCACCGAGGCTGGCAGTGGGAGCAGGGACTGGGGGCTGTGGGTGGCTGTAAGGTGCTGGGGCTGCATAGTGCCTCCTGGCCTTACCGTGGTGGTTCAGGTGTCCATAAGAAGCCCTTTACCCTCCCCCCAATGCAGCAAGCATCCATCCATGCCCCCTCCTCCCACCCCCTCGCCCATCCGTACTGTGGGGCTGCCCCGTGTCTGTGCTGTGGGTTTGTCCCACATCTGCGTTGCGGGGATGCCCTGTGCCCATGCACGCTGTGGAGGTGCCTTGTATCCTAAGGGCTGAGCCTGCTTGCTTCACCCATGTCCTGCGTGCCAGCGTTGGGGCCACCAGAACTTGCTCTTGTTGGGCTCCTGCCCTTAGGACATAGGGTGGGAGGGTGGAAGCTGGCACGCTGGCAGAGGATGGGCAACAGATTGGGTGCTTGTTGCTCCTCCATGTTTTCTCCCTATGACCTATCATGGTCACACAATACAGGACTCAGCAAGAGTCCTTCTCTTGCTGAGCTGGTTTACAGCAGCAGGGCTGCTCCTTGTGCTGCTGGCTGGAGGGCCGCCATGCCTCGGGATCGGCACTGCCCCAATCTGCATGCTGGGATGTTGTCACTGCACACAGCATGCAGGAGGGGTGGGTGCCACGCATACCAACGTGCTGCCTCTCACATTGGTATTCGCCGCTGGTGATGGATCCTTTGTGGGTTTTTTTTTATGATTTCTCTTTTATTAGAAGGAAGCGAAAGGCATTTAAAGGGACGGCTGGCAGTGACACGGGCGAAATATCAAGCCTCTAGCTTTGTGGCTGCACATGTGGGGCTGAGGACAATGTGGCAGCGCCGCAGCCTGTTGGCATCAAGCTGCATGCATCTGGCACTTCTTGGGCTGCACTGGGGCAGGTGGTTCCCATGTCCTAGCTTTGTCACCAGCCTCGTGCTGGAGCTGCTGTGATGACACTGAGGCTTGGGGCTGCCCTCTGCAGCAGCGTCACACCGGGGCGCAGGGCTGGGCAAGGAGTTGGGATGGGGCTGGGCAGTTCCTCTAGGGCTGAAACATGGTTGGCAAGAGAGCTGTTGTCAAGGAGTGCCCAAGGTGGGTCACCGTGTCTTGCCTGGCCTGGTGCCTGCAGGGATTTTGGTTGTTCCTTGTCCCTCCGGCCAGAGCTGGGGTGGAAGCATTAGGGCCTGAAGCATCCCAGCACTGGCTGAGCTGAGCGGGTCTGACTGATGGTCATCACTCCTGGGTTTAGAGGTGTTTGCACATAGGAGATCCCAGGTGCTTGGCCATAGCCATGCAACTGGATCATCCAGGTCTTTCCAAAAGTCTCTCCCATCAGAGATAGACAGGAAGCTGTGCTGGTGCTTCAGCGTGGAGCTGGGCAGGAGGCTCTGCCTTGCTGTAGTTTGTTTATTGGACCAAGGAGGAATGCAGATTTGGGCCAGCTGGATGCTCTGCAGCCTGAAAGAGACTGCCAAATGGTTTTGGTGAGGAAAGAGCAAAAAAAAAAAACCCAATCCCAAACGGAAAGTTCCCGTTTTACATCATCCTCTGATCTGTGTTGTGCTTGGCATCGGAGTTCCTTTCCTCGATCCTAAATTGGAAGGGACAGCTCGGAAATGATATTCCTTCTGTGTTTGTCCATGGCAGCTCCTGGGAATTGGGTGTGAGATCCCCTCTGCTCTCCAGATGTTATCCAGATCTTGGAATTCTCTGTCTCCAGTAGGCAGTGGGAGTGGGCTCTGCTCAGTAGCGGGAATAAAAGGCAGGAGCGTGCTTTAGGCATGGAAAAGGAGCGTGTGCTAATAGCAGCATTATGTGCCTCTTTCTAGAAAGGAAAGGAATGCGCCTTGTGCCATTTAATGACCTTCAAATTAACGGTTCTTTGAAAGCACTTATGTATATTTAATTTAAATGTTGCTGCAAGTCAGAGCGGAGCTGGCAATGAAAGCAGCAGGCGGCCGATTCTTAACTAAGAGCGAGCCCAGACCTCTGCTTCTGAGCCTGTTGGCTTCTGTTGTGTGTGATGCTCCTCTCCCTGCCCCCAGCACCTCCCCGTGGTCCATTATGTGCCATCCCATTGAGCAGCCGATGGAGGGGCAGAGGATGGGATGGGACTTCATGCGTTCACCCAGGTGCTCCGTGTCCCCTTCTGCCACGTCCCCGGCGCACAAAGTCCTGCAATGCCTCCATCACCAAATCCGTCACGTCCTGCAGGGGTGGATGCTGATCTTGGAGCGACTGGAGTGCAAAATAATTTTCCAAGAGCTGGAAGGACACCTTCTCAGGCAAATCCTTTCCATTTGGGAAGAGCCAAAGCACCAGGAGGGGGTGCTGAGTGGAGTGGCCATGGAGGGGGTTACCCCCTCACATGGGAGCACTTGTGGAGGTTAATCCAAGCCAAACACCCGTGTGCATTTAAGTGGATTAGCCCAACGAGGTGCTTCCCAAAACAGACGTGCCCTTCCAGAGCAACCGTGGAAGTGGATTAGGCAAAATCTGCTTACGGCTGCATTAACCCCGGATCAGCGTTAGAGGGATTAGCTCAGTTTGTGCTATCCACTTAAAAAATGAATCTGAGTGAGCTTTTCTCCACGTCTCCAAATAAACAAGCCTTGCTCTCCATCCTCGCTCCCATTTCTTCCCTCTGGTCCATCTGTCTGGTGTGTGCGCTGCCCAGGAGCAGCTTCCCTGTGGGCTGGGCTCTCTCCTCTGCCCGCTGCTTATCCCCAGGGGTCTCGTTAGGCAATTGAACCCTCTTGCCAAGGTGGGGAGAGAGGGCAGGGAAATTATGGTCAACATCAGTGCAATTATCAACGGCAATTAGCGCTGCGCAAGGACCGGCAGCGGGCGGTGCAGACCCTGCCAGCGGCTGCCCTTGTCCCTGGGGATGGCCGATGGGGACAGCTCGAGCCAGGGGGGTGCCTGTGCTCACACTGCCTTCCTGGGGGGATGGCTTCACAAATTTGGATTGCTGCTTGTGTTGTGAGCCTGGATCTCTGGACGTGGTGCCAAAATGTATGCTTAGTAAATGCACGATGATGGCTTTTCCCCTTCGCCCTTCCCTCCCTCCTTCCTTCCTTTCTTCCTTCCTTCCTTTCTCTCTCCCTCCCTCCCTTCCTCCTCCCTCCCTGCCCTTCCTCTCTCTCTTCCCTCCTTTCCTTCCCTCCTTTCCACTCCCTCCTTCCTCTCTTTTGTCTCAGTTTTTCTTCCCCTTTTTCACATGCCCCTTTTTCTACCAAGCGCTAAATTACCAAATAAAAGTTTCATTACTACCAGGCTTTGCAAGAAATGATTTTCATTCAGCAGAATGATGAATTTTAATAGGACCAAAATGTCAGCCACGGCTGGAATTTTTTTTTAAAAAGCATTGGCATGTTCACACAGGGGCAGCAATCTCTGGTTATCAGTGCCCAAGCAAAGGGATGCAGCAGTCAATTGCTTTGTTGTTCAACATGTCAGCTTTATGTTTCTGCAGCGCAATTGTATATTAAAAGCATCCGCTTTTTGGAAGGGGCTGAGTGAGCGATGGGGTTTGGCTGCTTGGAGAAGGAGGTGCTCCTGAGAGTGCTGTTTGGGTTTTGCAGCCTCCAGGCTTTCCCTTGGCAGCTCTGTGTACCTTTGGAAAGAGCAGGTTTTGTTGGATGACGGTTCACTTGTTCTGCTGGGCGCTGCCTTTGACATGGGAGACAGCAAAGAGCATCCATTGAGGGTTGCTGTTTCACTTTGCAAGAGCAGCGGATGGGCTTGGCAGACACCAGTGGGGTTGAGCAGCATCGTGGCTCTACAACACGTGCTCTGCAGGGCT